TCATTTAATAAAAAAACTACTCAACATGATCTCAAACTCCCTTACAATTTGTAAATAGTCAGCTGGTTTTTCATCGAAACATTGAGGTTCGCGTTTAGAAAGCTTATTATTTCTATTATCCCTAGACGACGAAACATGAAGAACAGACTCATCATGCTGAGCATCATAAATATCATTACAATTAACAAGCAACTCAGCAATACTTACTTTCTTGCCTGCTTCCGAGACGCTCTGTCCCTACTTTGACCCAGGCATCACTAAGAATAGAAGGGATGTTGAGGGTTAGACAGTATAGATTTAGACCGTTTCTCGCATGAGTTTAGATGTCTTTTAACTAATACATTAAAGAGTTGACGAAATGGTACACCACTTGCCCTTATGACAACCTTAATACCCTACACAATACGACATAGTCGTTTTTGAGTAATTCAGGAAAGAATAAGGGGGAGCAGTGAAGACGAATGCAAGAGTTAACAAGTTGTAAAAAGAGAGGTTGAATGATTCCTGACTGTCTTGACTCATAACATGGTAAGCTAGACTGAAGGTTTTCTTAGAAATCGACAAGATATAGAATGACCAAGAAAGACCAGAGGATAGGTTTACTCCAAGGTATTTTATGTTAGACTTAGTTTCTGTTTCAGCACCCTCTTTGATACAAGCATCTTGTGAACGACACAGTTCTTGTAGTCCACGCTTATGAGTGAGGGGAAAGTTAACTGCCTGACTTTAAAGGGATTTAACGCAAGACCACGTACCTTAGACTACAGGCAGGAAGCAGTTAAGTTTGCTGCAGTCACATTGTAACATGACAGGAAGTGAGACGGTCAGATCACCAGCGTATTTGACGAAATTGCCCTCATTAGAAAGAGAAAAGTCATGTAAGACGAGAGAGAAAAAAGAAAAGGAGAGATAACAATACCCTGAGGAACACCAGCTTCAGCAAGCGAGGCGGATGATTTACCCCAATATACAGTATGCTGCATTCCATTTGAGAAATGATAATGCAACCAGTCAACTGCCCAGGACCCGTGTTTGGACGATCGAAACCTTATTCAACTGAAGTCATCTAGGTCCTGAGTCAACAACAACGGCGAATGCTGAATGTCCGAAAGCTAAGCACAAAATGGCAAAGCACAAATCCAGTTGCAAAGTAGGAGACGAGTCCCGGGTGGAAGAAGAGATTACCGAAAGGTATCTATTTTTCATTTAGCAAAGAACGAGATGAAGAACTACACTTATCATTTGTTGAAATTTTGGAGATCATTTATCAATATTTCACATTTAATTACGCCTAGACTGTGTCATTCTGACTAGCTTTCAGTATGAGTTTGCAGAGAAGTCCACCTGTTTAATTTACCACATTCCATGTAGCACACGAAGGTAGAGACATAAAACTAAATGGAAGTTTATCGAGCGAAAATGTGAGGGAGAATAAATAGTGACAAGGAAAAACATGAGTTGAATAGATACGTGAGATTACACAGAGTGAATGCACCTGTACTAATACCAAAGATTTGCAGTCACATCTCCGGTAGTTCTTCCAGCTGACTGTCAACAATTTTATGAACCAATATCACTTTTTTATTTGACCGACCTAAACACACTTTAAACCTTAACATGTGCTGGCTAGCATTGTCCCTGGAGGAAGGCGACGGCTTTGTATGCCAGCACGTGTTCTAGCCATCTCAACCTATTCAGCTTCCCTACCTTGAAGGCTAACTAACCCTCCCCACCTAAACATTTGTGCGTAACCTCAACAGCACTCGCCATATTATACTGCTTTACTCATAAGATAGAAAGCGGACACCTATAATCAAACACTGGTATTATTTTCATATTTTACAGCATCAGGGGTTACTTCTCATAGTCTAGGTGGGCAATATCATCAGCAAACTGTAAGTTGATGGGACTATTCCCTAATGAGACCATAAAGTCAATTACAGACTATTCTACTAATATATGTGTGATTGAATTGAACTTTTATAAGGATGGCAGTTTAAGAATTCAGCCTTGTATTACATCCCACTCGGAAATGTGTTTTCTCGGATAATTCGCAAACAGTAATCACTGAATAGAAAACATTCTGTAGGCTTAATGAAACTCGTAAACTGACGCACTACTTCTGCAGGCATTATATTGTTTCCTGAATAAAGTGAGAATTGAATATTTAGTCTGCATAAAGCGAGTAAGTGGTATCCTGGCAATACCAATGACTACAACAAGTCTAGGAATTATGCACTGCAACTTTTGCTTTATGTAAATTCTGCTCGAGTATTCAGTAAATTTACCGAAGCACTTTCGGTTTCCATAAGAGTTCTCCGTGCTGAATTTATTACTTTAAGTGCACACATGTATACATGTAATCTGTGCACACATTACAACTTCAAATAAATAACAATGACGTGGAGGAAATTCCATTCTTCATTAATAAATTTAATGAAAATAATCATGTTTTTCATTCTAAAAACAGGAGAATTCGTAATGTTTTACTTTATGTAAATTCAGTGACATACAGTTGCACTAAGAACTCAGGGCACTCGATACACAATAGTATATATACAACTAAAATGAAAAATAATGTTCTGCTTACCTTACCAACAACCTATCCTTATTCCAGGAGTATAACTTTCTTTCACCTAGGAGCCTGATTTATGTCAATGAAATCGTAATATTACATCAGTTGAATCTTCCCCCAAAACCAAGGCCGCCTGAAACCAATAGCAACATAGCAACAAGCGTCATTGTGGGGATATGCAATAGAGTCGCCCTGTAGGCTTGGTAACTGAATTATATTGAGTTGTGCCTTCAAATATTTTTTCTACATTCCTATCATCAAGGAACACACTTGAAAGCGAGTGAATCTATTATCACACCTCCACTACCTGGAAGGTGTTAAGCATTTGACTGGAAAACTGATAACTTCTGGAACTATTAGACTGGCATAAATGACCTTACTTTGCAAATCAGTTCCACTGCGACCTACCGATTATTGCATACGATACGAAGACCGGGTCACAGACAGCATCTGAAGAATAGTGAAATGTGAAGCACCTATGAAGGCGACATGAAGATATAGCCCAATAGTAAGTTCATGATTAACAAATATAATTGCGACTGGTTTTTCAAGAAGAGGTTTAGATTATTCGCTAAGTCAATGTGCTGTCTCACGCGAATACTCCACTATGTGTTGTAAACTGATGCAACTGGATGCAATACTGTAGTAAAATGCTGAGAATTCCATCTTGTATGGCAAGTACTGTTTTGGAATAGAGCTATTATCATTCATTCGTTCATTCATTCAAAATGCAATACGAACTATAAATACCGTTTATCAACTGTTTGTGGGTCACAACCCCGTGATTTCGTTTTTGCTCTATGTGTTCGCAGTGGAACATAAAGCTTCAGTAACGGTGGGATTACAGTCCCATACTCAATCCACTTTTAGTCCTAGCTTAGTGCAACATTTAGTGGCGAGTTGGCTAGTAATCAATGCCGCACCAAGTGCGTGACTGGTGACTATTGTACCGTAGGACCACTGACGTTAAGATTGTGACTAATACCCTTTCGGTTTCAGGATACATTTGAATATAAGCTGACATTAGTGCGAAGTCGGATACGATCGGTGAACATCCGTTTTCAGATATGGCTGCGTGAAAAACGCTGACTTTAGCTTTCACACAAACCATCTCGAAATAACAGTTTAAGTGGCATTTGACTGACACAAGTTAGCGGGATGTGTTGGCAAAGATACCTGCTCACTTGAAACATGGCATCTATGGAGGGTGAATCACAGTGCATCTAAATGAATTGAATGTTGTTTCACTGAGAGGTGAAAAGTTAGTTACAGGAGTGGTTTTGATTGAATTCCCCTAGAGACTGAGTGGTGAGTGTTTAATAGACGCTGAATTGTACGGCTCCTTACTGACCCACTGGGGCTTCTCGGTAGCTACTCGAGACGCATGTCCCCGAATAATTCGGATGAAATACGCCGGTACGGCAGACACTCCGTCCTTCAGCATCGTTATTAGTACACCAGATCACTGCTCAAAGCGGTGGGTTTACCTCCACCAATAAGGGAACTCGACAAGCTCTACAGGGTGGCACTGGAAAAACGAATATTCCAGTTGTCTTCATGTACATCTTAGCTATATTATAAGCTCTTATCCTTTTCCCAGTTGGGCTTGTTCTCTTGCCCTCTTTTCCTTCTATATTTTCATCCAATATCGTTTTTACGAGCTATTATAAACCAATTTGAATTCTTTGTGCTCGCTTCTTGATTGTAAGGTATAGGTTCCTGATCTTGGGTAAACTTCTGCATGGCTCGTCCTGCCACTCAACTGTCATAGCTTTGGTTGACTCCAAAGGGAGTAGTGCTGGGATTAATTATATGTGGTTTGTAGTATGAGGTGTGTTGAGACTGTTACTATTGTGAATGGAGTTGATCCTTTCGCCAGTTAGTCCTCCGGTATCGTCGACAAGAGAAAAGAGATAGTAATAATAATAATGATAATAATAAATATAGTTAGTGAAGTTATTCAGACTAACAGACAGAAAAGGAAATAGGAAAGCGTAACAGAGCGTAACATCAGCTTCTGTTCTTCTAGGCGACGTATGCTGAATTCTCTCGCACTAATTTCTCCAGACTTCCCTTCAAGTTTCTGAGCACTGATTCCCTTGGAATATTTATCGGCCTAATCGGAGGGCTGCCTCGCGAGACGAAATTTTCAAGCCTCAGAAGGACCAGTCCCCTTGAACGGACCCTGCATTCTTTGATAGGTAAACTAATAAACACCCTCTTACTGCGTTTAGGAAAGCTCCATCACTTGATACACTAGGCCGTGGTGAAATATACCAAAATTTGGGACTATTTTAAAACGACGAGAGACGAGTTTCAGAAGAATAATAGGTTTTTATGCTGGTCACAAAGACATTAAATATTGGAAGACCTTGCCGTTTGTACAAATTGTTCGTTGTAGCGTTATCACGCCTCGAATATAGAAATGAATGAGAAGGTAACGAAGAAGTCCGTGGGTAGGTCTTTGCCTGGGTAAATTGTTATGTATATTTTAGGAGTAAAGAGAAAATTATCTGATGGTTCTAAACCGAAGGTGTCAATAAAAAAGCGTAGGTATCTTCGGCTTCTCAAATGAGTTTCCTTTATAGCCAAATTGCTTCCCTCTGTTCGGTTATCTGACCAGCCTCCAGCACGCAAACCTCAATGGACCAATCGGGAGCGTGTTTTGGTTATCTCTTCCAGAGGCATATCTTATGTTGGGCGTCATCTAATGAAAGATTTGGCACGTATGTTGCCACATAGTAAAACTGACTCAAAACTTGATGACAAAAAAGGGATAACCACTCTTAACGAGTTGGCAGAAATGAGCAACACTAATAAGGTAACAGAGATTTCATATGTTCATTAACTTTATCCTAATTAACCTGACAGAACTAAATTAAGTAAATCGTTCATCGATAACGGTTTTCACGGACTTTGATGAATGACATAGGTCCGAATTATTGTGGTAGTTGTATCTTTAAAGATGCATGCTCCCCTAAGTGAGCTGCTACCACTTATTTTGTCAATGAGTTCAAAACGTTGGTTAGTGCCTTGTGGCTTACGGGTCATTTTCAGATCATCTGTATGATGAATCACAGGTGTTGAATTAATTACTCTTCACTTACAATGCGATGTTCCAGTATAAGTTTGTACTTGTACCAGCCTAAATTTTTCCTTTGTTCTTTTTGAATAAGTAGCATTCCTGTTTGATCTTTTCTGGCGTGTGTTTGCAAATCATAAACTACTTACCAGGCAAAGTACTCTGCTCGCTGTGTTATATTTAAACGCCATTTGAATATGGCAATTGCTTCAGTTACATTTCTTATGGTGCGACGACTTTTGTTTATGTGTAACTCACGATAACCTCTAATGTCATTCCCGAAAGTGTATTTTATTCCTGCTGCACATTTCTGTACATTCGTCGGAGGTCGTCGTTTAGATCATTATGCAAGTTTGTAAAGATATGTCCGAAGAGCACCAATGTCCTTATCGAGAATAAGCCCCCATGTTATAATTTTCTCAGTATTTGAAAGTGATAGACTTTCGATTGTTCATTAATAGAAAGCGAGAAAACAGATCTTTCTGTTGTCCCCTAGAAGTAACCATCAGTTTTTGTCTTCTATTCTGATAGTATCCGGTTTAACCTCATTCACTACCTTCTACTATGCAAGTTGTTTATATCTGGACCTTATCCCCTTTGTTATGTGGTATAGTAGGGCGAGTAATATTGAGGTTGGGTGTAGAGCGCTAGGTAAGGAGGGGGAATTAGTCGATAAAGTTGTAAAGTTACGTCGATTGAGATGGTTAGGATATGTGTTACTCATGCTTAGCCACCGCCTTCCTTGACGGGCAATGTTAGCTGATATAGAACTGCGTTGCAAAATAGCTAGTGGTGGTCAAATCATAACATAACATCACTCAATGAAATCGTTGGCAGTTAGTTTGAGCTACATATGGAGGTGTAAACTGTCTGGTTGGGTCCTCAGTATTCTAAGGAGCAAATACACTCTTTATGACCTGCCTCTATCTAATAAAGCCTTATTGTTTTTCAGTGTTACTATCGTTCCCCTGTCACATTTCTGCTTATTATCGTACTTTTGCATCTCTTTGGTCTCTACTCCTGTTTTGTGCGATACAAGGAGGAATTGTGGCAAGTTGAAGTGTTGCAATTCTGCGCAAAGTTCTATGCTGAAACTAGTCAGTCAGTGAGGTTGTTCATAATCAACGCTCGCATGTTTTCATCACTGTCAAATCTGGTTAATCCGCTCATCCTTAACATTTAGCTATTAGGGTTGTATGCATTTTGTTGCATAGTGGTATGAATTCAGCTTATAAAGACGATATAGACACTGGTCCGCCGTCTGTAAGTGAGGTTACAAAAGCTATCTGTAATTTAAGACGAGGCAAAGCGGCAGGACCCGACGGAATTATTCCGGAGGTGCTTAAATATGGGGGTGACATACTAGTTTGTGGATTAACTGAGGTACTAGGCAAAGTCTGGGAATCAGAGACGGTGCCATCAGACTGGGGTAAGTCACTTGTTATACCGATATTCAAGAAGAGAAACAAGTCCTCGTATGATAATCATAGGGGGATCAGCCTAACGAACATAGTCTCTAAAATCCTAGGCTTAGTAATCATGCACAGACTAAGCAGAACTCGGGAGGAACAGACGAGGGAAAATCAAGCAGGCTTTAGACCAGGTAGGGGGTGCATAGATCTTAACTTCACTCTCTGACAGATTCTAGAACATAGACACTTTTCGGCGTCCAACAATTGTCATATTTCTTGACTTGAAGGCGGCCTTCGACTCCGTGGATCGAAAGGTACTATGGCAATGTCTGACTGTAAAGGGAGTGCCAAGAAAGTACATTGCACTAATCAAGGCACTCTATTCAAACTCACGTAGTCGTGTAAGGGCTTATGGGGAATCGTCATCTGAATTGATAACAACCAGGGGTGTCCGACAGGGATGTCCACTTTCCCCATTTCTCTTTAACTTCATCATAGATATGCTGATGGAAGTATCCTTAACTGAACGTAATGACTTAGGAATCGACTTGTTACCAGGGGATAGTCTTATGGACTTAAAATATGCAGATGTCATAGTCCTGTTAGGGGAGGATGCTGACAAAATGCAGAGTCTTCCGAACATCTTGATCAGCAATCTTCGTATGTTTGGCATGTGATTCGCCCCTGGAAAATGTAAGATGCTGCTACAGGACTGGACTATGTCAACTCCCAGCCTAGTGATAGGGAGTGAAGTGATAGAACATGTTGACCACTTCACCTATTTGGGAAGTTGTATTAGCACCAACGGACTGATTGGCGATGAAATCTCAGCACGGATCCGAAAAGCTCGAGCTGCTTTCGCTGACTTACACCATCTCTGGCGTAGGCGTGACATTCGGTTATCAACCAAGGGACGTGTGTACTGCTCATCAGTTCTCTCCGTCCTTCTCCATGGCTCTGAAACATGGCCAGTATGAGTTGAAGACATGAAAAGGTTGACTGCTTTCAATCATAGATGTCTGAGATCTCTTTCTCACGTTAGGTGGTATAATAAGGTGAGTAATGTTGACGTTAGGCGTAGAGTGTTGAGCAAAGAGGGAAAATCAATCGACGGGGCTATAAAGTCACATAGATTGAGACGGCTAGGTCAGGTGCTGCTCATGCCTAACCATCGCCTCCCTCGACGGGCATTACTAGCTGATATAGGTGCAGGTTGGAAAAGAGCCAGTGGTGGCCAAACAAAAACATGGCCTCATCAATCCATGAAATCCTTGACAGTTAAACTGAGCCGGTCGGTCAGGTAGGGAGATGCAGACTTCCGGGTTGGGGCCCTCGGGACTCTAGGAATCAATGGCTGGAGACAATAGGTGACATGGCTCAAAATCGTTGTCAATGGCCAGCGCAGATGTATTCAGTCTCTGTAATCTTTCATACTTCTTTCTACCATTACCCATTCTGTTTCACTCTTATACTTGTCAAACTCTATTGATTCTTTTCACTCATCTTCTTGTCTACCTTTGTGTGGTATATGGAACTTGGCAACTCAAACTGCTGCACTTCGGTGTCAATTTCTATGTTGAATCCAGACAGACAGCATTTTGTTGCAGAATGTTACGAATTCAGCTTATAAAGACTGGTTTATGAGTGTTTACCCTATCCTATTCGTAACTGACCTATCAGTCTGTATGTTTAACTTTATACTTCTTTCACTAATTGCTTGAAGTCATTTGTATCATTGTCATCGTATTTCTCCAGTCTGATAACCGTACTGATATCAGTTCTGTTTAACTAGATATTGATGCAGGTCTACTCAGTTTCTGTGGGTAGCCAAATATTTAATTCTGCATAAGATGCGGGATTAATCTTACTAATCACCTGACTAAACTCTTATTTCAAGTAAATAACTGACCAATATTGTTTCTTCTTTTTGTTGAAACTTTAATTTTCTGGTTGTCTGTCTTAAGACTCCAAATTGGACACACCAATAATATCTTAATTGTTGGTTTATTTGCTAGTTGGCATCCTATTTTATTTGTTACTCGTCAATAAGGTGTGGTATTCCCAGGAGGACTTGTATCAGTCGTATGTTAATATTGTACATATTAGTCGTTCAGAACGTGGCCTACTTTATTCACGCTTAACCGGTGTAATTATATATTTCCTTTCGATCAATATCTTCCTTGTCTCATTCCTTTAATTTTATTTTCAACCTACACTGGAAACTGAGACCAACTAATCTTTGGTGTACGTTGAATACTTTCTGTTCAGTTGGACTTGTAATGATTAACTGTCTGTTTGTAGTGATAAATACTTGGAAATAGTTACAGGATTTCATTATGAGCTGACATCGGTTAGAAAACCATTGGAAAACCACCTGGGAGTACTGGACATAATATTCTATGCAGTCTAACTACATCTGTTTGTGAATTTCAGTTTTGGGTGTAATAGTTTTTCATTGAAATTTTAAACATGTGGTTTAGCATATCCACTATCTCTATGTTTAACCAGAAATCATTCTTCGTTACATTATAGTGCTACTGTTGTTATAAATAATGTATACATGTTAGTATAAGTGGAAGACATGAAAAGCTTGGTCAGTTGTCTTTGGTCATAGGTACCTGCGTTCCATCTCCTATGTTGGGTGGTATAGTAGGGTGAGCAATATTGAGGTTAGGTATTGGTCGAGTGCCAGATAGGGAGGGGAAATCAGTCGACGAGGTTGTGAAGTTACACCGACTAAGAGAGATGGTTAGGACATGTGTTACGCATGCCTAGCCTAGCCATCGCCTTCCTCGACAACATGTAATGTTAGTTGACATAGGGTTGATTAGGTTGGAGAAGAGAAAGCTAGAGGTGGTCAAACCAAAACTTGACCTCATCAGTCAATGAAATCCACCACAGCTAGTTTGTCAGCCAGCCACGTAGGGAGGTGTCGACTTCCTGACTGTTTGCAGTCCTCGAGATGGTAAAAACCAATGAAGACTGGAGACAATAGGTGATATGACTCAAAATGGTTCTCAGTGGCTGGCTCAGATGCATCCACTCCTTAAGATTTATAATATCCAATAAAATTATATTGTTCTTCGATATTACTATTCTTTTTGCCTCATATCTCTGTTTATTATCTCTCACTTTTGAATCTTTCTCTACTGTCTTCCGTTGCTTTGTGTGCTACAAGAGAGCGTGGCAACTCGAACTGCTGCACATCTGTGCAAAGTTCTACATTGAGTCCAGTCAGCCAGTCACTATGAGTGTTACTTGAAGCTGTTCACACCATCAGGTTGATTTTACTAATTCGTCATGACGATTCCTCAAAATATTTGTCAGAAGCAGAAAGCCACTTAGTGTTATTAAATAAAGACATTGCCAATGGTTCGTTAGTTACTGTCACGTTACATACTGTGTTTACTGCTGTTTCTCAGTGTATTTATTTGACCAGAAGCCTCATTTTAATTTGCTTTGTTAAATAAAAATTGCGTGACCGCAGAGCCCAGGGGACAACTGCTTGAGGCGGTCACACGCGCCTGTTTTGTTTTTTTGTTTGTGTCAGTAGCATACTTATCACTCCCCCTGTGACACGGCAGCAGGAAGCGCGGTCGTTGTTAATCCGGCCACGGCCGATCCGGCATGAAATTTTGTGAATTTGTTTGACATGGTATTGATGGTAGCTGCTTTTGTTTAACGCTATCCAAACAACCTGCCTGGCATGGTAAACGTAATAATCAGGGTGATTAAAATATAATAAAAGGATACCTTTTTCTGTCAGTCTCGTAATGTAGGGAAGGATAATCAAATGATTCTCTCGAAACTTTTACCCTTGTGGTATCCTGGTAAAGAATGTTTTCTATATTTTCTTTACATGCTGAAATTAAAATTGAAAAAAAACACTCAGACTTGCTACACTACGGGTACCTATAGTTTGTGCGAAGGCTGAGATACTGCCTAGATACTGAAACCGAAGCAGATGGTCATCTTAAGGAGTCATCCTTAGACGTTTGATTTGAAGTGTGATCCACAAGGCAGCGCAGTTGCATTCCTCTGGTTGACAGTGAATAGGGCTACGAGCACGTGCCACACGAGGCAATTTAAACAGCTGCATTTCTTTATAAAGTTCTATGTTAAAAACTCATTTGAAATCTTAATTCATTATGCCGACAAGTTTAGACTTATGGCTCACTGGTCAAGAAATTGAACGCTTATTTCAATGGTAACTTTCTTCCGTAGTTTTGACAAAACGGTAAGATGTATACTGTATGCATCGTGTAATGTATTTGCTCAACGCATTGTGGACGATCTAATCACATACACACACACAAGTATTTGTTATAGGAGTTCATGTGATAATGATAAAACCGCTTTTATATGTTCAAAAACAATTTGTAACACATCAAGCCAACCTTTGTGAATTTTTTGATAATAGGATAGAGGCACTATTATCTTTCCTTCTTTAGTTTATTGATCTCTATTATTACTTTGTGGTCCGAGAGAGAGGGCTCTCGAGTGGTTGCAACACAGGATTATCCTGTATGCCAGTCTCGTCTCGCAAGAGGCAGGGATGGGTGTGTTTTGGTTCTCCTGAAAACCTGAAAACTCCTAAAAACATCTCATCCAACAGTTGTACGACAATGCTGCACGCCAAGTAATCCACAACGTGGAACTTACGGGATCCTTCGAAGTGAGAACGGGAGTAAGACCAATGATTTTCCTGATTGCAGTAGATTGGATAATGTGACAGACACACAGCGGGCAATGAGGAAACAGGCATAAAATGGACTCACACAAAAAACTTGGAGGATCTGGACATCGCCAGCGATGATATATGTCTGATTTCCCACAAACTGGAAGATATGCAAGTGAAAAACAACAAGCTGGCAGAAGAAGCATCAAAGATAGGACTTCAAGTGAACATAGATAAAACAGAGGTGATGAAGATTCCTGGCCAACTGCAACAACAACAACAACAACAGGCAACAATCAGCATAAATAGGAGGAACCTGAAAGAAACAACCTCCTTCACCTACCCACCTACCTGGGAAGCAATGTTTTAACTACAGGCGGAACTGATGAGGATATCAAAGCAACGAGGATCGGAAAAGCAAGACAAGCTTTCATTACCCTCAAGTTTGTGTGGTGGTCAACAGCCCCACTCAGCATCAAAAATAAGATCCGGATTTTTAACTCCAATGTGAAGTCAGTGCTACTTACAATACGGATCAGAGACTTGGCTAGCGCGTCATAAAGAGCATCTCAAACAAACTACAGACCTTGATTAACAGTTGTCTTCGCTCAATACTCAAGATCAGATGGCCAGCCAGAAGAGATCAGCAACAGGGATCTCTGGCAATGACCGAACCAACCAGGAACCGACTGTGCAACAAACAGGCAGAAAGAAATGGAGATGGATTGGCCATACTCTGAGGAAACCATCAAGTGACATCACTGGACAAGCCGTTGCTCGAGTGGAACCCGAAAGGGAAGCGGCGAGTTGGTCGTCAGTGCAAAGGTGACTTGGAGGAGGTCATGTGAAGAGGAGATGAAAGCATGTGGGCATACTTGGAGCCAGGTGAAAACTGTAGCAGAGAACCGAACGTAACGGAGACGCGCGGTTGAAGCCCTATGTTCCTCTAGGAATTAAAAAAAATAATAATAAATAAATATTACTTTGACCTTCAACAGAATCTTTTAACCTGACCCCCATATCTATTAATTTACCCCTCAACGCTCTCTTATTTTCATATAAATTCCTATGATAAGTACTTGTGTGTGAGGAAATTGTTTGTAATATTTTGCGCAATTACACTATGTGATTACGATAAATTATGTCTTCCCATAGCCTTGTTGGAATTGTTAAAAGGAACTATGGGTTATCAATCTAAGTAGTTGACTTCCGACCAGTTGGTCACAGATTAAGACTGCGTTCCTCCTCTCACTGAGGTTTTCGCAGCCAAACAATATCACCAGTCTTCACACACAACAGATGTATCTCATCGCCAACTTCACAGAATTGCGAGTAATTATTCATTTTCATTCAGAGACCTAATTGTTTCAATGTTTTTTAAAGAATTGCATTCTCACCTTATTAAGATTTCTGATTTCACTTTGTCTTAAGGTTTTATATTTTGAAGCTCGTAAAAAGAAAGATTTATACTTATGGCTTAGTTGTGTACCAAATGGACCATCAGCTAAATTTCTTGTTGAAAATATTCGTACAACAGCAGAATTAAAGTTGACTGGAAATTGTTTGAAAGGCAGTCGTCCTATCCTAGGATTTGATTCATCCTTTGAAGAGTCAAGCAAGCCTCATGTACAATTGTTACGTGAATTATTTGTACAGACAATGGGTACACCGAATCATCATCCACGTTCACAACCGTACATTGATAAAACATTCACATTTGTTAACTTCAATGATCGTATATGGTTTAGAGTGTATCAAATTGCTGAAGAAAGTGGGGCATTAGTTGAAGTTGGTGAGTGTATTGACCTTTCATAATATGTATATTCAAATATTCTGTTGTTGAACTATATAGGTCTTGTATTTTTCCTCAAATACCAAATGGAATTTTTTCTTTTGAATGCTTATTTTCTACTTAATTAAAAATTCAGTAGTCTGATGATGTAAAGAAAAATATATTGTGATAACATGATTTGTGTGCATGTATGTGCTAAGGTGGTTGATTCACAATGATAGTGGGTTGGTCAACTGCGCGGGAGATTTCGTTTCGATGGGTGTATTCCTAGACCTCGCTCAGTTTACTAACCGAGCAGTAAGTCCATGAAAGTGGGAGGATAGAACGTAAGGCTAATGAAACCATCGCTACCGAAAATTCAAAGCTTGAAGCCCATAAGTACCACTCGAGGAAACCAAGTGTGGTGAGAGCTGGCTGCAACCTAAAAATTGTAGACAGCAGTTTACGTCAATGTTCACATCCCGATTCAAGGTCATGAGAAAAACGATAATCAAGCTTGTCCTTGAGGGACTTATCAACTAATCACAGCAGACTTAACGTGTGCAAATAGGATTCGCAGATATATGGCTTAACTTTCTAAGAAACGGACACAAGTAGTACAGAATAATCTTCAGTAAGGAAACAACCAGTCAGGGGATGTTTCTTCTTCGTTGACAATAATGTACACAAAAATCTATAAATATCTGTTGCTTTTCTCAATAAACGATTAGTTGCCTGGCCCTTGTTTTCTGTCGTTACACAAGGAATAAAACCAGAAATTGTGTATGTACAGTTTTTAAAGACAATTTACTGTGAACAAAGTAGAATGTTATGTGCAAAAATTGACAATTTGCTGATTAAAAATTAACCACAGTCATTTTAACTTTACCATCTTTTAGTTCTATATATGTAAATCTGTTGAGCTAACTTTTAGTGTATCTGTTTTGCTGAACTGAACTTAATGGGATATTTGTTAACGTTGTTCATTCAACGGTTTTGTCTATCAACTAAAAGTAGATGATTTAAGTGTTGGTTTGTAGGGATTTGATTGGTTACAGGATTTCATCATGAGCTGACATTAGTTAGAGAACCATTGGAAAACCTGGGAGTACTGGACAGCTGTTTCGTCCTAGTTTGGGACGGTGTTTAAATATGGGGGTGACACACTAGTTTGTAGATTAACTGAGGTACTAGGCAAAGTCTGGGAATCAGAGACAGTGCCATCAGACTGGGGTAAGTCACTTGTTATACCGATATTCAAGAAGAGAAACAAGTCCTCGTGTGATAATCATAGGGGGATCAGCCTAACGAACATAGTCTCTAAAATCCTAGGCTTAGTAATCATGCACAGACTAAGCAGAACTCGGGAGGAACAGACGAGGGAAAATCAAGCAGGCTTTAGACCAGGTAGGGGTGCATAGATCTTAACTTCACTCTCTGACAGATTCTAGAACATAGACACTTTTCGGCGTCCAACAATTGTCATATTTCTTGACTTGAAGGCGGCCTTCGACTCCGTGGATCGAAAGGTACTATGGCAATGTCTGACTGTAAAGGGAGTGCCAAGAAAGTACATTGCACTAATCAAGGCACTCTATTCAAACTCACGTAGTCGTGTAAGGGCTTATGGGGAATCGTCATCTGAATTGATAACAACCAGGGTGTCCGACAGGGATGTCCACTTTCCCCATTTCTCTTTAACTTCATCATAGATATGCTGATGGAAGTATCCTTAACTGAACGTAATGACTTAGGAATCGACTTGTTACCAGGGATAGTCTTATGGACTTAAATATGCAGATGTCATAGTCCTGTTAGGGGAGGATGCTGACAAAATGCAGAGTCTTCCGAACATCTTGATCAGCAATCTTCGTATGTTTGGCATGTGATTCGCCCCTGGAAAATGTAAGATGCTGCTACAGGACTGGACTATGTCAACTCCCAGCCTAGTGATAGGGAGTGAAGTGATAGAACATGTTGACCACTTCACCTATTTGAGAAGTTGTATCAGCACCAATGGACTGATTGGCGATGAAATCTCAGCACGGATCCGAAAAGCTCGAGCTGCTTTCGCTGACTTACACCATCTCTGGCGTAGGCGTGACATTCGGTTATCAACCAAGGGACGTGTGTACTGCTCATCAGTTCTCTCCGTCCTTCTCCATGGCTCTGAAACATGGCCAGTATGAGTTGAAGACATGAAAAGGTTGACTGCTTTCAATCATAGATGTCTGAGATCTCTTTCTCACGTTAGGTGGTATAATAAGGTGAGTAATGTTGACGTTAGGCGTAGAGTGTTGAGCAAAGAGGGAAAATCAATCGACGGGGCTATAAAGTCACATAGATTGAGACGGCTAGGTCAGGTGCTGCGCATGCCTAACCATCGCCTCCCCCGACGGGCATTACTAGCTGATATAGGTGCAGGTTGGAAAAGAGCCAGTGGTGGCCAAACAAAAACATGGCCTCATCAATCCATGAAATCCTTGACAGTTAAACTGAGCGGTCAGGTAGGGAGATGCAGACTTCCGGGTTGGGGCCCTCGGGACTCTAGGAATCAATGGCTGGAGACAATAGGTGACATGGCTCAAAATCGTTGTCAATGGCCAGCGCAGATGTATTCAGTCTCTGTAATCTTTCATACTTCTTTCTACCATTACCCATTCTGTTTCACTCTTATACTTGTCAAACTCTATTGATTCTTTTCACTCATCTTCTTGTCTACCTTTGTGTGGTATATGGAACGTGGCAACTCAAACTGCTACACTTCGGTGTCGATTTCTATGTTGAATCCAGGCAGGCATCTTGGGACTCTTCAGCAGTACGCACCCACCGGGGTTCGAATCCAGGACCTTCTGGTTACAAGGTGAGGTAGATTTCACACCTCGTGACCTACTGATTATTAGTCAGTGAATCGAACCGTACTATCTCATTTTAATTTTGATCATGGATTGATATCATTTATAGAAGTGCTGAAAACTAGGGAGTAATGGATACCTGTGATGTCCTAGTTTGAGACTCATAGCCAATATGCACCCACTGGATTTCGGACCGAGGACTTTCGGTTATAAGGCAAGCTTACATACCATGCAACCACTAGGACCCGACTCATTGACCAGTCCCATGAATGATTCTAAATTCTATTAATTCGTGATTTCAGCGCACCAGCCAGTATCATCGCTGGTGAGCATTTGTCCTCACTTCCAACTGGGTGATCCCTACTGGTCATGACTTCTCACTAGAACTAACTCCAGACAACTTTTTTCCTGTAGCCAGTCACTAGGATGCATCGGATTAATTTTCACGAGTTCCGTTTCTTACTATTTCATCTGGGTTTTTTTGACTGCTAATTCTAGTGTCTTTTAATGCTAAATACTTGGATTAGGCATCGTTCAATGCTTTTTTCAATTAAAGGGAATATACTAGCTGAAATATTTGTGTACTATCAAATTAAACTGTTTTTACATTACATGACATTCGACAAGTGTGTTTTGGAAACAATTCAGTTGACAATTACATTGATCTTTCTACTAGTGTTCACTAAGTTGTATTTACGAAAAAATTGTGTATATGTAGTTCACATTATACTTTTTATTCTATCGCTAAATGACTGACGAAACATTGTTAGAGTGACCGGTAACCCCAACCCGAGAATCTGCACTTCCCTACATGGTTCGAACCAAGAATCAGAGACTTCGTGGATTGATACCATGAGTCGGTTTAATCAGCTTCACCATTCCTCCATCCCTATCCTACTTTAACTAGCAAAACTTACCTATGGGAAGATGGAATGTATATCCTAGGTTTCTTGCAATCTCATCGATTACATTTCCCACCTTAACCGGCATTCTGCGTATAACCTCATCATAACTGATGACCATATATCCCTATACCTGAGCGTTGGTGGTGGCACAACGGTAGAATGCTCGCCAACTACTCATGGGGTTCGAGGTCTAATCCCCGGTCGACGCACTCCTTTGCCTCGCTAATTTAGTAATAAGACTGGTTGGGCATTAGGCTAGCAACTTCATCCCGTAAAAACAAATACCATTGCTACTGGAACTTCAAGGCTCTAGCTTGAAGCCCTATGTTCCGCTAGGAATGTAAAGGAATTAAAAAAGATATCGCTATACTTAACACAAAGAATCAGATGGCGTCAACTGTTTGTGAACAGTCTTCTATCGTCTCATCTTCTACTCGTAGTGGTTGTGTCTCAGCAGAAAAGTTGGATGGATTCCACTGCACAATACACATATTCCTATATCATTTTTCCATCAAAGATTCCAAACACTAATCAGATTTTCTCCAAAGGTGCTGAGAAAGCTGTAATTTGTCAGCACTTTCACCTTAAAAAGACTATATCGTATGCTTATTCTAAATCATTGAGACTTTTGCGTCATTTCATGGCAAGTCATTTCTTCAGATGTCAGAACCAAACTACTTCCACATCCAACAGTGTGTGCACAATGAAACTACATAAGAATAGTGACAGTGTTTTAACCACTAACAATTTCACCTTTCTGAAATGGTAGGATTTGCAGAATCATTGGTTTCAGCCTCGAAATTGAAGTCGAAATACCGTCTTATAGTAGCAGCTATCAACTATACTCCTGTAAACGTTTCAAAGTAGTTGACCGCATCACAAGTCTTAGTCCTTATTGGTCTTCGTTTACTTACGTATTATGTAGTATACTCCGTCTTCGTGTGCAGCATTTGACTATCATGTGCGATCAATACACTTAAAGGTGGTTTCAAATTCTCAGTGCATTAATCTCATTGTTATCATTAAAAATTTATATATATATATATATATATATACCCCCTTATACTCTCTTATTTGTACTCTATAGTGAACAACCTTAAACATACTTAGCTACCCCTAAATTATTAACATCGGCTTACTTTTTTGTACTTTACTCTATTCCTTCTTTTGTATATTTACTGGGTCCGACTATATTATCACTATGATTATTACAAAATTGTCCTGTCATTAACCATCATGTAATATTAGTGGTTAGGACTCTCGCCGACCACGCACATGGTCCGAGGTTCGATCCCCTGCTGACGCACACCTGATATCTATGGTCGGCCTGCAATATTTGGGCTACCGATATCCATGCTGAAAATTCCATACTTGTACCCAAAATACAGTGTGGAATCAAGCTGTAATCGAAAATATAAAAAAAAATAAAAATATAAAATACGAAATTGTCCTGTCATTAACCATCATGTAATATTAGTTTTGTGGTTGTTTTTTGTTCGGCACTATTTAACTGACAATCTTGTTTGTGAACGCCACTATCACCATCTTAAAAATTTTGTATTATGCAGGATTACTCACACTACCACAACAAACACTGCATCAGTGCTGACAATAAAAATAAAAAACCCTGAAATGCTTATTTATGATTGTTTAGTGTAGTTCAATCAAATTAACTGATCATATTGGCTATAAACATTCTTAATCACATCTCATAACTTCTTGTATGATTATAGCTATTACTGTTCACCACGCATACACATATCATAGCTTTTACTACCCAATACTGAAATATTTTTTCATTATTGGTGTTTATCTTCCTTTCTACTTGGTATTTTTATTTGCATTTTTTTGTTATTTTTGTGTTTATTTTTGGTTTTTTGTTGTTTTTTTTATATTTATTTTTTTGTAATACTCCTTTTAAATGTACGATGAAATTAGATGCAATATTGTAGATATGTGCCGAAAATTCCACACTGTACCACAAGTACTGTTTCTGGAATAAAAGCGAAATATTATTATTACACTTATTATTACTTAATTCTGAACTGTACTTTCTAGGTCCACGTTTCTCATTGAACCCTATCCGTATATTTGCTGGAAGCTTCTCCGGTGCAGTATTATATTCTAATCCAAAGTACATTTCACCTAATATAGTAAGTTATAACATGAATTACTTTTTTTAATAGTTTACACACAATGATAAGTTTTGTTATTGGTAATATTTCGAGCAAAATTACCAGTAACAAAACTTATCATTGTGTGTAAACTATTAAAATATAATTATACTTTATTTGATCTAATCCACAATGCTCAAACTTTTTACTGATATTAACATGAATTACGTTTGATTCTTAAATAGCAGATTGATTTTTATCTCAAACATATATATATATATATATATATATATATATAAACGTTAATATTAAGGAAAACGACATATTTCAATGTTTGCTTTCAGATTTCTTGAGACAGTCACTAATTTCGTATTGATCTTCTAATAATAGTTGCAGGATTTTATCATGAACTGATATCAGTTAGAGAACAATTGGAAAACCACCTGGGAGTACTGGACAGCTGTTTTGTCGACCTAGTTTGGAACTCTTCAGCAGTACGCACCCACCACCACGGTCCGAGCCCAGGAGCTCCTGGTTACAAGGCTAGCGAGCTCGTAGACCATTAGACCACTGGGACCTGATCAAATGGCCAACCCATGAATTCTTTTTTGTTTTCTTCACATTCTCCAGTGGAACATAGGGCTTCAAGCTAGTGGCTTGAAGTTTTTGTAGCAGTGTTTATTTTACAGGATGGGATTGCTAGCCTCATGCCTAGCCAACCTTTCCTCTTTACCATCATTATTTCTGGCTTAGCGAGGTAAGGGGGGAGTTCGTCGTCTGGGGATCGAACCCTGGACCATGTGCATGGTTGGCGAGCGTCTTAACCGCGCTATGCCACCGACGCATGAATTCTAACTTCTGCCAATTCATGCACGACCAATTAGGAATGTCTTCTTCGATGATAAAATCCTCCAAACAATCAAACCCAATCCCTACAAATCGATAGTCGAAAATTGATCTGATGCTCATTAGTGACTGACCCTATTCAGGCAGTGACCTGGGATTCTAGTGGGAAGTCGTGACCAGTAAGGTACAGCAAGCTGAAGGTGAGGCAGTAACTCATCGAAGAAGACATTGCGAAGTGGTCGCGCTATGTCATGAATTGGCAGCAGTTAGAATTCATGGGCTGGCTATTCGATCGAGTCGCAGTGGCTTAGTGGTCTACGAGCTTACTGACCTTATAACCAGAAGCTCCTGGGTTCAAACCCCTTGTGGTGGTGGGCGCTTACTGATGTCGGCTCATGATGAAATCCTCCAACTCCTAATGTTACTTGATTTGCCTTTGATATATGTGTCTTCTCCCTAGTTTGTTAGAACTCAATTGTGAAGATGCAGTTCAATGCTGTTGCCGCTCGTCTACCAATCATTGGGTGTCAAGTTCGAGTACCGTTTCGCCTATCAGGCAGTGTATCATCAACCCTCAGACAATAGTTGTGACTAACTGCCAACTGCATAGAACTTCAAGTGATTAGTGAGTATTGAGTGAATATTGAACTCAGTTACCCCTTGTATATTAGGCTTCGAACCAAACTTATTGTTTAAGAGCTACTGATACTGCCTAGTCTGAAGTAAGTGATTCAGGAACTCGAACCCTTCACCCATTATTGGTCAATAGAGCAAAGTGCTTAAGTTAATGAGCCAGTTCATTACTTCTCCTTATTGTAATCGTTATTAATAGTTTTACCACTTATAATACAGAAATTAATACATTCCGATGAAATCCTTCTCTTTCAGATTCGAAGTACTCTATTGTCTAAAAAACAGAACAGGTATATTGAACGTACACATGATAAAATGGAATCACGTAAACGTAAAAAGGAGATGAAGCAAATCTTTCCAGTTGATGAATTAGATGAAATTTTTGAATAAATTTTGTACGACAAAGTTCGTCTTTCTCTCTCCCTGTCTCTCTTTTTTAATAAAACGTGGAGAATAAAGTTATGTAGTTCGAAGTGTATAATCGACTACATGATCACCTTTAAAAGTTGAAATTAGAGGTTCAATAGTTATCGCCGTTGTTTTTATCGTGTGTGGAGCATAAAACAAAAGAAGGGTTATAAATGGTGTTATCAGACTTCTTTTTGTTAACTTAGTTACTTTGACTAAAACAAATTCTTTTCTGATAGTTAAAGCAAATAGAATCACGGAATATACACATTGAGGGCTAGGTTCGCATATGCCAGTTTACACTGTCTCCGTCGTAGACGATATATCCGACTATCGACCAAAGGGCGTGTGTACTGCTCATCAGTCCGATCCGTCCTCCTTTATGGCTGTGACACCTGGCCACTGAGAGCGGAAGGCATGAAAAGATTAGCTGTCTTTGATCATAGGTGCCTGCGTTCTATCTCCCGTGTGAAGTGGTATAATAAGGTGAGCAATACTGAGGTTAGGCATCGGTCGAGTGCTAAGTAAGGAGGGGAAATCAATCGACGAGGTTGTGAAGTTACACCGACTAAGAGAGATGGTTAGGGCATGTGTTACGTATGCACGCCTAGTCATCGCCTTCCTCGACAATGGGCAATGTCAGCTGATATAGGGTCAGGCTGGGAAAGAGCTAGTGGGGGTCAAACCAAAACATGGCACCAGTCAATGAAATCTACAACAGTAAGTATAAGCCAGCCACGTAGGAAGGTGTAGACTTCCTGACTGATTGGGGTCGTCGGGACGGGAAAAACAATGGTTGGAAACAATTGGTGACATGGCTCGAAATCGTTCTCAATGGCTGGCGCAGATGCTTCCACTCCTTGTGACTAATGATTCCCAATGAAACTGTTTTGTTCTTCGTTATTACTATTCCTTTGTCTTACACCTCTGTTTGCTGTCTCTACTATGCAAAGTTCTATGTCGAAAACAGACAGACATATGCACATTGGATCATAGGAATTATTAAAAAGGTGGTTACAGCGGAGAAAATTTTCCTTTTGACGAAGTCATCAACTAGACAGCTGTACATTCATGTATTTATACTACATGTGTGAGAAAGTTCCAGGATTATTTCTGGTCAGAGATCAGATTAATAAAATTATTAAGTGCTATAAATAGAAGATAAGTAGTGGTACTATTCTAGAAATATTTTAGGTCAAAGGTCAAGTTAGAAATTACAATGTGTAATAATCAGGGAGATCGGGTGGAAAAGACAAAGTGGGATCATAAATACTGGAAAACTAGTCAGTTTGTATAATTACGGGCTAAGGGCGTAGTATTAACGGGATGGGTAGGAGGTTCAGACATATAAGAGTAATAATGCAGATAGGGATTTAAAAAGGTAAATATAACAAATAAACGGGAAGGTTGGACAAGGAAGACAATAGGATAATTATTGGTGAGACTGACTTTTCATGATGGCCACGGTAGGAAAAACAGTTAGACGTATTTCTTTTCGACACAGAATAGGCTTGAGGTTTTGGATCGCCAGTGCCTGCCTCAGCTATTTCTAGATGTCTTGATTTCACTCCTTTTGGTAGGTTGGATCGGATCTTGTATATGGCTTTGAAAGACTTTTCAAATGGGGCTGAATGTCCAGAATTCATCAGATATTCTGTTATCGAAGTGTATACCCCCATTGGGTTCTCCTTTTGCCAACCATGCCGGATAGTGTTCCCGCGCGCGTTTTACAAGCAGACTCATGATACGACCAATGTACTCGGTTCCACACGAGCAAGTGAACTTGTATATGCATGTTGAAGTGGCCAAATGCGACAGCTTGTCTTTCACGTGTTGGGTGAGTAGTTTCTTGCAGGAGAATGTTATTCTTAGGCTGGCGGTGAAGTATGTTTTACTGAGAGACTTCGAAAGCCGTCTACGGGGAAGTTCTGCTTCGGTATGACTTTTAAATTCGGGGTTCAACATAAGCATCTCTTTGGGGCGACTTGGACCTTTTCAGGTGTTTTCTTTGGTTTTAGATTCTTGTCTGTGAATCTGGGTGGGAATGGAATTTCTATCCAGGTCCCTCGGAGATTTCGCAATTCTTCAATGATTGACTCTTCAGTGCAAATCTTCCGGATCCTCGAGGAAAGAGAGTATATTAGGTTTCTCTTTCTGCTTAGAGGCACACACCTTTGAAAGTTAATAAATTGTCCGTCCCAAATGGGCTTTTTGTAGAGGAATCTTCTCACCGAGTTGTCTGCATTCCTTCGTAGTTGAACGTCGAGGAAATGAAACACTGAGTTAGACTGAACTTCCAGGGTGAAGTCGATGTTTGGGTGGGCGTTATTGAAGTAGGTTTATTTAGATCACAATTCTCATCACAAATAATGAAAGTATCATCGACGTATCTCTTGTAGAGATGGAGGTCGTCGATAGTTGATGATAAGGACTTGTTTTCTATGCTAGCCATAAAGCTGCCGCTGCAAATTAGAATCTAGCATTACTGTTTCCCGTAATTCATTGTGTTTAACAGTGATAAACGTCTAAACAAAAGCTCTGTGATAAAACAATGTCTGCAGGTATTTTCAGGAACAATATTACCTTTATATTAGAAAAAAAATTATGTACTATTTGTGAGGGACAACTCACTAACTTAACTTTACGTCAAACATATCGACTAGTTGTGTTTACAGTGAAAGATTCATTTCAAGAGAGCTTTATGTGTCCTTAGAAGTGTGTGGGCAGAGAGCATAGTTCTCAGGGTCAGCCTCCCTCCCTCCAAAGTGTAGAGACAACACAGCTAGCCATTTTAGGGGAACACCCTACTATTAATATTCTCCCAGCAGTATGCATTCGCTCACACTCCTCACCCCGCCAGCATAATGTTAACAACTTAAACTATAATGGCAGCTGTCTTTAGTCTAACCGCTATCCCAGACAAGTCTTTCTTGCATAGTCAAACCTGTAGAAAAATTCGTTCCAGCCAGTGTAACTCACTGATTCATTGCCATATGCGAGCGTAACCATCACGTCGTGATAGCAAATATTGATCGGGTCTACAGACACACCTTGATATTGGACACTGGTCCGCCGGTCTGTAAGTGAGGTTACAAAAGCTATCTGTAATTTAAGACGAGGCAAAGCGGCAGGACCCGACGGAATTATTCCGGAGGTGCTTAAATATGGGGGTGACATACTAGTTTGTGGATTAACTGAGGTACTAGGCAAAGTCTGGGAATCAGAGACAGTGCCATCAGACTGGGGTAAGTCACTTGTTATACCGATATTCAAGAAGAGAAACAAGTCCTCGTATGATAATCATAGGGGGATCAGCCTAACGAACATAGTCTCTAAAATCCTAGGCTTAGTAATCATGCACAGACTAAGCAGAACTCGGGAGGAACAGACGAGGGAAAATCAAGCAGGCTTTAGACCAGGTAGGGGGTGCATAGATCTTAACTTCACTCTCTGACAGATTCTAGAACATAGACACTTTTCGGCGTCCAACAATTGTCATATTTCTTGACTTGAAGGCGGCCTTCGACTCCGTGGATCGAAAGGTACTATGGCAATGTCTGACTGTAAAGGGAGTGCCAAGAAAGTACATTGCACTAATCAAGGCACTCTATTCAAACTCACGTAGTCGTGTAAGGGCTTATGGGGAATCGTCATCTGAATTGATAACAACCAGGGGTGTCCGACAGGGATGTCCACTTTCCCCATTTCTCTTTAACTTCATCATAGATATGCTGATGGAAGTATCCTTAACTGAACGTAATGACTTAGGAATCGACTTGTTACCAGGGGATAGTCTTATGGACTTAAAATATGCAGATGTCATAGTCCTGTTAGGGGAGGATGCTGACAAAATGCAGAGTCTTCCGAACATCTTGATCAGCAATCTTCGTATGTTTGGCATGTGATTCGCCCCCTGGAAAATGTAAGATGCTGCTACAGGACTGGACTATGTCAACTCCCAGCCTAGTGATAGGGAGTGAAGTGATAGAACATGTTGACCACTTCACCTATTTGAGAAGTTGTATCAGCACCAATGGACTGATTGGCGATGAAATCTCAGCACGGATCCGAAAAGCTCGAGCTGCTTTCGCTGACTTACACCATCTCTGGCGTAGGCGTGACATTCGGTTATCAACCAAGGGACGTGTGTACTGCTCATCAGTTCTCTCCGTCCTTCTCCATGGCTCTGAAACATGGCCAGTATGAGTTGAAGACATGAAAAGGTTGACTGCTTTCAATCATAGATGTCTGAGATCTCTTTCTCACGTTAGGTGGTATAATAAGGTGAGTAATGTTGACGTTAGGCGTAGAGTGTTGAGCAAAGAGGGAAAATCAATCGACGGGGCTATAAAGTCACATAGATTGAGACGGCTAGGTCAGGTGCTGCTCATGCCTAACCATCGCCTCCCTCGACGGGCATTACTAGCTGATATAGGTGCAGGTTGGAAAAGAGCCAGTGGTGGCCAAACAAAAACATGGCCTCATCAATCCATGAAATCCTTGACAGTTAAACTGAGCCGGTCGGTCAGGTAGGGAGATGCAGACTTCCGGGTTGGGGCCCTCGGGACTCTAGGAATCAATGGCTGGAGACAATAGGTGACATGGCTCAAAATCGTTGTCAATGGCCAGCGCAGATGTATTCAGTCTCTGTAATCTTTCATACTTCTTTCTACCATTACCCATTCTGTTTCACTCTTATACTTGTCAAACTCTATTGATTCTTTTCACTCATCTTCTTGTCTACCTTTGTGTGGTATATGGAACTTGGCAACTCAAACTGCTGCACTTCGGTGTCAATTTCTATGTTGAATCCAGACAGACAGCATTTTGTTGCAGAATGTTACGAATTCAGCTTATAAAGACTGGTTTATGAGTGTTTACCCTATCCTATTCGTAACTGACCTATCAGTCTGTATGTTTAACTTTATACTTCTTTCA